CATGGAAAATTCAACTAATGGCGCACCTCAAATTTAAAAGAGTTCATATTAATTATCCGAGGGTCATGGGTTATGGAATTATTTGTGGGGAAAATGTTATGAATTAGTAATTGTCTAAATATGGGTCAACTCATGAATTGTATATACGTTGGGTCATTAACATTACTCCTGGACAGTGTAGAAGCTAAAGAAAATGCCAAACACATTTCAACCATAAACGACACCATCAATATAATCATGCTGCAAAGAATTAAAAGAAAAGACAGAAAACTAAAAAGAACATCTCACCAATCACAAAGATAACAACAAAATATTTCACGAAAACATCAAACAATCCATTTGATAATATTGATATTTCCAACAGATCTTCGTAGTAAGAAAATGATAGAAAAACTTAAAAAATAAACCCACCTCTTTGTTCATTAACTCCACAAAGTGCAGTCCACAAAAAAATTGTAAAAAAATCTTTATATTTTCTTTGATAAAAATTAGTGCTAATATCTCATTAAATCCAATTAAAACTAATAATACTGAAAGAAACAAACACATATTGAGAGGAGAAAAATTAAGCTAACATTGTAAAGGCACTCAATCATTCAACCAAATACGTCAAAGCTTCAAAATCATCCGAAAACATACAACGTAATGAGAGAGAGAATGAACCTTTAAAAGCGGGAAATTCCTTTAAACAATGCCGCAACTACAGATGCACGATTGTGCAGCGAAGTGAGAAACAGAACTTCGCCCAAAAAAAAACTCGTTGTGAACTAGAACGGAAATCGAACAAAACACACGACAGGAGCACTCGAACGGAAACCTCGATGATTTTGACGGACTGAGATGCTTTTCATGGCTGGCTTTCGTGGCTTTGTTGTTGCATTTTTCTGTTGAGTTTTGGAGTTGTTTTGGTGATGCAAATGGGAGTTTTCAAAGGCTGGTTTACATGGCTTCAAAAAGAATAAATTGGATCTGATTTTGTGAGGAAGAAGATGACTCAGATCCCTCCTCCTTCACCTTCCTTTCTCTTTTGATCTCTTTTTTATTTTGCTCTCTTTTTGTTTTTGTTTTTTTCGATCTCCTCTGTTTTTTTTTGTTCCTTTTTGTTTTTGCCTCACTTTTCTTCTGCTTTTCTTTGTGAGCTCCCTCCCCAGATTTTTTGGCGTTTTTTTCTTCCTTCCTTCTGTGTGTGCATGTGTTATATATAACGAAAAAAAAACTTAGAAAGGAAAGATTCCCTAGCTCTAATTTTTGTCCTCATTCCCCTTTCCTCATGTGCCAAAAAACATGAATGAAAATTAAAAGGGGTGCATGTCAGTTTGTTATGGGGAGTTGATAAGAAAGCATCTTTTGGCAAGTTGCACAATTTATTATCTCTTGTTCTTTAAATTTTTTTTCTTTTTTTAGATTTTCTTTTATTCTAAAGATGAATTAAAAATAGCTTTATAAAGATACTAGTATATTTAAGATAGTAAAAATATTTAGAGAAGACACATAGCTACTATATTAATGAAATTTAAATACTACTCAATATATACTAAAATGTAAAATATTTTTTGATCTTTTTCTTCTCATCTTTTTTTTTTTTGGAAAATAACATGACAAGACTATTTTGTATTTTTTTTTTTTCAAAATATCAACTAGCTAGGATAAGGAAAAATATTTTTGTAGTTTTTTTTTGATAAAATAAAGTAAAGAGAGCGATACTAAACCTAAACTGAATATTTACGCTAAAATATGAAAAATCTTGGGGAGGGTCAAAAATCACATGTCTACAATTGTCTTTGCTATTTCAGCCCCGTATGCTGAAATTATGCGAAAAAGCGGTATGTTTGCAATTGTTTTTGCAAAGCGGGCACAAGTTAAAACGTGACATAAAAAGCGGGTATAGATGCAAATTTCCCTTAAAATGGTCAGTTCAATCCATCCCTACATGGGTTACCAGGCCCCACGGGCTGGTTTATCATTTTTTAAAATTATTTTAATATTTTTTAAATTTAAGTTTTAACCTAAAATGTAATATATATAAAACATACTAGTTGTTGGATAAAAAGTTTCGGCAAAACTTAATAATTTTGACATTGTTCTACTAGATTACAATAAAACACAAAAATGAGGACATTATTTCATTTATTAAAAGTCAATATTCAAAACAAACTACTCAAAAATATTTTCAAGGTACTCGTGGCATATCCCAACATATCATCTTCATCAAGTACGTTTGAATTCTCTTGTGAAATAAAAATGTCTTAAAATCTTTACTCTTATCTAAATATATAATTATATGCAATGTTAATTAGTTAAACATTATGAAATAATTAAAATTTTAAGAACAAAAAATATTTATATCCGCATAAAAAATATTATAAGTTTGAGATTACATAACTCTTCTTGTTATTTTCAGTTCCCTACATATTTTTAATTAAATACGTTATTAAGCCCACGGACCGGCCTAGTCCAGCCTCGTGGGACACTAGATTACATGGGCGGACTTAAAAACCCCGTTTTTAAATGGGTTTCAAAAATCTTAACACAACCCTATTAAATTACGAGTTGGGTTGGGCCGGCCCAACGAGGCAAGACTATATTGACGGCTCTAATGTGATTTGCAAAATGTTCTACCTATTAGTAAAAATTGCACGGGGCGCCCTATTCGGTCGCCCTCATTTAACCTATACCCATTTTTAAAAAAAGTTTAAACTTGTACCCATTTTTAAAAAAAGTTTAAATTTGTACCCATTTTTAAACAATTTCAGCCCCTTTTCTCCTTCTCCTCCTCCTCCTCCTCCTTCTTCTTCTTCTTTTGCTGCTGCTATTGTTGGTGCTGCTATGAAACTTCAGTTCATGAGATGATTGCCATAAATATATTTATCAGATTATTTAAAAATAAATTATAAATAATTACATAAGTTAGTAGACAATAATTTGTGAATATTCCACGTACTAAAAGTTTAAGGTCACACTTTAATGATTCTTTTCATGATAATTCTGTTCTTTTCACGTTTATTGTTTTCAAAATTTATGATTTAGATACTGTTGACAATCTGATTATATTAGAAAGCTTTTTCAAAAACTTCAGCTTATATAGTGCTGAAATTTTTACAAATGAACTAAATCAACTTCTTCTTCCTCCTCCTCCTCCTCCCTCTTCTTCTTCTTCTTCTTCTTCTTCATCTTCTTCCTCTTGTTCTTTCACTTCCTCTTCCTTTTCTTCCTCTTCCTCTTCTTTTTCTCCTTATCCTTCTTCTTCTTCTTCTTCTTCTTCTTCTTCTTCTTCTTCTTCTTCCTCTCCCTCTCCCTCTCCCTCTCCCTCTTCCTCTTCCTCTTCGTCTTCTTCTTCTTCTTCTTCTTCTTCTTCTTCTTCTTCTTCTTCTTCTTCTTCTTCTTCTTCTTCTTCTTCTTCTTCTTCCTCTTCCTCTCCGTCTTCTCCTCTTCCTCTTCCTCTTCTTCTTCTTCTTCCTCTTCTTCTTCTTCTTCTTCTTCTTCTTCTTCTTCTTCTTCTTCTTCTTCTTCTTCTTCTTNTCTCCTTCTCCTTCTCCTTCTCCTTCTCCTTCCTCTTCTTCCTCTTCCTCTTCTCCTTCTCCTTCTTCTTCCTCTTCCTTTTCTCCTTCTTCTTCTTCTTCTTCTTCTTCTTCTTCTTCTTCTTCTTCTTCTTCTTCTTCTTCTTCTTCTTCTTCTTCTTTTGCTTTTGTTGGTGCTGCTATGAAACTTCAGTTCATGGGATGATTGCCATAAATATGTTTATCAGATTATTTAAAAATAAATTATAAATAGTTACATAAGTTAGTAGACAATAATTTGTGAATATTCCACGTACTAGAAGTTTAAGGTCACACTTTAGTGATTTTTTTCATGATAATTCTGTTCTTTTCACGTTTATTATTTCCAAAATTTATGATTTAGATACTGTTGACAATCTGATTATATTAGATAGCTTTTTCAAAAACTTCAGCTTATATAGTGTTGAAATATTTACAAATAAACTAAATCAGCATCTTCTGCTGAAATTTTTGAAAAAGCTTTATGACAAAACTAATGAATCCGGGACAAAAAAACTTCAGCTTATTTAGTGCTGAAGTTTTTACAAATGAAATAACTTCAGCATCTCTGCTGAAATTTTTGAAAAAGCTTATCCACGACAAAAAACTTCAGCTTATTTAGTGTAATGAACTAAATAATTTCAGCATCTTCTGTTGAAGTTTTTGAAAAAGCTTAATGACAAAACTAATGAATTTAGGACAAAAGAACTTCAGCTTATTTAGTGCAATTACAAACAAAAACTTCAGCAAATAGAGAACAAAACTTCAGCTACTATGCTTAAGTTAAGCAATTACAAACAAAAACTTCAGCAAATAGAGAACAAAACTTCAGCTACTATGCTTAAGTTAAGCAATTACAAACAAAAACTTCAGCACACTTGCTACTTCAGGCCCATTTACTAGAATACTGAAGTTTTGCGTGATTACCTTTGCTACTTCAGCCCCGTATGATGAAGTTACGCGAAAAAACAGATACGCTGCAATTTTCTTTTATAAAGCGGGCACAAGTTAAAATGTGACCCAAAAAACAGGTAAAGATGCAAATCCCCCTACCTATTGTCATTCGCATAAAGTTGGGGTTAACTAGGCCTCGCTATTACAAAATTGGCACCTATTTGCTCTTATTTTGTAGCTCAGCTAACAGAGAGAGAGAACAACCCTTTTGAGTTAAGTTTATGGCAAGATAAAATGATGATTAATGGTTTCTTCAAAAGGTAAGAAAAGGCCTCAATTATTTCCCTTTTATCAACGACGAAAGGTTGCTCTCGTGAAAAGAGAAATCACAATGCCTCTTTTTTTTCCATTAAGTTTTTGTTTTCAACTTCAGGTCATCTTTTTTTTTCTTCTTTTATGATAGTTTTTTCCCTTTCAAATTCTAGCTGGTAATTATCTTCTTGGTTTGATAATATACATACAAGCATCTTAGAAATATCAAAAAATGACGACGTTTCTTTGTCAACGAGGTATCTCGTAAATAATATATTGCTGAATGAAAATCGGGGAGAGCTGAAAGGCTCTTTACATTAGCTAGCTTAGGAAGACTAAATATATTTTTTTATTACATCGGAAGAGGGAGAGTGGGGATTGGGGATTGGGGATTGGGGAAGAGGAAGCTACGCTATTGATGTGGAAGGCAGGGAGCTCACCAAGTGAGCTAACCCTTCTACTTCATTACATATATCATATTACTGTTCATATTAGAACGATTTATTCATATTTATCAGCGTGAAGTTTTAATGAACATTCATATAGAACATCTATCTTAAACAATAATTTCGAATATTTTTTTCTCCTTGATTCTTGGATATTTCAATGTGTAATCCATTATTGAAGATCAAACCGGGTTTTCGTATAACATTCCCTTCATTTGTCACTTTCCACCTGAAATTTTAAAGAAAATTATACCTTAAATTTTTTACGTCGTGGTAATTAATTATTTTTAAAAGTATGTTATTATAATATGTTTCATCGAATTCATACCTATAGTTTGTCAACAAGTAATGAAGGAAAATGGCCGTTTGCATCTTTGAAAGATCAGCTCCAGCACACAATCTCAGTCCTCCACCAAACGCCATGAATTTTTTGGATCCCATATGTAGCTCTTCACCCTTTTTAATCCCAATATAGTGGAGAAAAGGACGTTTATATTATGAATATATGAAAGTAGAAACCTAAATGCTTGATTTTTACTAATTAATAAAATATTAACTGACCTTCCATCGCCAAGGATTAAAAGTAAGGGGATCCTCGTACTTGTTTGGATCCAGATGAACCGATGAGGGACATACTACGAACGTCCATCCGGCAGGAATTGTATATCCTGTGATTATTCTTACTTTAGTACTTACTCTATGGAAAAAACAAAAACTAAATAAATATGCATAGTAGTATCTAAACGTGGGACCCAACATATTTACCCAAGAGTTCTCCACATATACATAGTACACATTTTGACTAATTTTACTTTGAATTTTCCAACTCATGTTAAACCAAATAAAAAATATCTTTATTAATCTAGGAGTATTTCTTAAGCTGCACTATTTGGCAAGCTAAGAGTCTCATATTGCGAGACCATAATTTATTTTTATTTTATTCTTTTTTTACTTTTAAAATTTTAAATTATTAAAATTCTTTTTTTTATATTCCTCACTTCTCATTTCCTAATTATACTTCTGCAACCAAATAATATACTTGTAATTGTATTGTAATTAAGTTAATATGACAAACAAATAGGTAATTAATTACTGAACTGTGTAATTACTACGCTAGTAATTACACTTATTCTATTACATGGTGACTTTCCAAACAAGACTCTTAAAAAGACCTAAAAGTTAGATATTTACCTTTGATTT